CTGAGGGGAGGCAAGGGATTGCCCACTGCCTCAAGGACATGAAGTCATGGAGTTGCTAAGGTTATGGGCCACGTTTTTTAAAGATGGTGCAGGAGAGGGAAAGAACACTGGCCAGGGAGTTAGAATAACTAAAGCTGTTAAGTTGATTCTGACTCATAGTGACCCTGCCTAGTGTTTCCAGGGAGCGGCTGGTGGATTTGATCTGCTGATCTTGCAGTCCAAATCTACCTTGTAGTCCAGTATTTCTCCTACCGCACCACACCAGGACGCCGTCTGCCTCAGAGTGAGCTTATAAGATGAGAACAGAATTGCCCTAGAGTTTTGGGGGCTGTAAATCTTTTAGGACGTAGACTGCCATGTCTTTTTCTAACAGAGCAGTGGGTGGGCTTGAACAACCGACCTTTTGGTCAACAGCCCAAAACTTAATCCACTGCACCAGAATGGTGGTGGTGGTGATGTGCCAAGAAGTCGGTTCCAACTCATAGCAACCCTGCATAGGGTTTCCGAGGCTACAAATGGTTACAGGAGCAGAAAGCCCCATCTTTCTCCCGAGAAACAGCTGGCAGTTTCGAACTGCTGACCTTGAGGTTAGCAGCCTGACCTATCTACCAGAGCTCCCTGGGAGTTAGAATGCCAAGTTCTAATTCTGCTCAGTGGTTTTAGGAAGGTGACTTAACCTTAGAGCTGATTCTTCCTGGGGGATGATAAACGCCACTCTGTCCACCCAGAGTGGAGCTGTGGGGAACAGCAGACCAGATAACAGGTTGAAAGTCAACAAGATGACCACAATAAGAACCACAGCAAATTCCACACCCCTGACTCTGATGTGATGTCATACTGCTCACCTCCGAGAGAACACGCTTTTCTTCTTCCCAGAAGGGTTCTCACACTGCCGCTGCTCAGACTGCCCAGTTAATCCCCCTCTTAGACATGGGACGACTAAATGGAAAATCTACCAGGGTACTCCCTTACCTAAATCAGTCAGAAAATAGGATTTTGGATTGTTTGAATTTATCTCTTACAAAGAAATGTGTATTTTTGTACACACATCAAGAGATGAGGAGAAAGGTTCTGAAACCTAACCAATCTTTTTTTTCCCTAACAGCAAATGTTTATTTCTAATCAATCTTTTCTAGAAAACATTTTGAGGGAAAACAGAATCAAAAGTCATTTGTTGAATTCAGTTTGCTTTCGGTGTTTTCTGCGGAGGAAATGCATTATTCAGCAGGGAGACGGAAGAAGCATTGGTCTTGGGGGTCTTTGGTAGATTTGTGATACAGCCAATTATCTTGACAGGGAATGCTACTAAAGAAGCTTTTTCTTCTCTTTTGGTCATAGGGTAGCTCCCTCTGTGTCATGGACACAAAACACAGAACACAGAACACAGAGCCTGGAAGGTGCTTCTGGACAGACTCTACTAGAATCCTCTCATTTTGTAGATAAGGAAACTGTGCCCCCCAGCGAGAAGATTTGCTTCCAATCCTGGAGAAGGGAGGAATGTTAACCATGGCTTTACACTTATCAGCCCAGAGCTCGTTCCTCCCCCACATGGGTGCAGCGGACAGACAGTGCCTCCATGCAGCACTGCCTGGGCTGACTCCATCCACCCTTAGACTCTGTCTACTGCCAGGTTCCCCTGTGGTGAGCCAGGGGTCATGGGGTGCAATAGCTCTTGTCTAGCCTGAAAACCAAGGTGCTGGGGGCTGAAAGGCCCATCTGTTGCAGTCAATTCACTCAAACATGTGAACAAGTGAGACAGAGACACTGCTCAAAGCAACAGTTACAGCCTTGTCAGTTACAGCCTTGTCCCGGGCTCCTACTGGTCAGCTGTTTTATCACCTGCAGCTGTAGCCATTGGGGTGGCCTGCTGTGTGCTGCCTCCCTCAGGCCCTGTTCACTTCCTCTGTGGGGAAGCCTACTGGGTCAGGGCTGCCCAACCCATCTGACCCCAGGGGAGGGTGGGTGTTACTGGCCCTTCACTCTCAGGCTATTTCCAGTGACTCTAGTGAAATCTTGGAGATTCTCCCAGCCTCTTCCCTGGTCCCAGCTTACAAGCTGTGACTCCTGAGTGACCCAGGAGCTCCCATTCAGGAGTGACAAATGAGTTGCAAATAACCAGGGGCCCAGCCCTTAGTCTCACCCTTCTGTGAAGAGTAAAGATACCCAAGCTTCACATCATTGAAAACACAGTCCACAGCCAGTCTCCCTGAACTACCTACTTCAATTTAGCTAGTGAGATGACCACTGTGAATTTAAAGGGAATTGCCTCCCCACTGGACACCCTGCTGACAGACAAGTGTTCTGAAAGCCAGACTCGGAGGACACTCATAGGGCTTTGCCTTCAATAGCTCAGCTCTGTCTACAGATTGAAGTGCTAACTTCTCAATCAAACACTGCTCTTCACAGGCTGGTGCCAGCTAACCCATCTAGGGCAGCCCCTGAACTCAGGTCACACACAAGGGTTCTTTCAGTCATGCCACGGTGATGTCTATTACTGAGTTTCATAGCATGTCCGTCTCTTCAGTGTGGTTCCTTCACTCCCGTGTCTCAGAAATGCTGATGCCACACCTGCCCTCCGCAGCCTTCCCTACACTCCAACACAGGGTGGGGTCCCTGCACCAACTCACTTGGTATATTCTGAGAGGAGCTTAAGACACTGCTTGACACAGGAAGATTAAGAGTTGTTCTCCAAAGGAAATGAAAAAGCAACTCTCTTTCTTTCCCTCCTATTGTAGATGTTCTTAACAGGGGACAATTTTGCCCCCAGGGGACATTTACGAACTCTAGGGGCTGGAGTCCACTAGCTTCTCCCGGCAAGAAAGATGAGGCTTTCTGCTCATGCAAACGTTTACAACCTCAGAAACCCTATAAAAGGTTGCTATGAGTTGGAACTAACTCAATGATGTAATAAGATAACATTTTAGCTGTCATGATTGAAGGATGCCTAGTATGGCACTGTAGGATAAACACTGGGGGCTGCTAACCACAAGGTTGGCAGTTCAAACCCACCCGCCGCTCCTTGGAAACCCTATACAGGGTAGCTGTTGAGTGGGAACTGACTCGATGGCACTTAACAACAACTGGTATCTAGTGGGGAGAGGCCAGGGATGCTGCTGAACATCCTACAGAACATAGGACAGTCCCCTACGACAAAGGACTATCCAGTCCAAAAAAATCATTAGTGCCAAGTGATTGGAACAAGGTTTCCCTTCTATTAGTGAACTATCTACCATTAGTTCTGGAGAGAGGATAAAGACTTACTCAGGAACTGAATCACAACAAATTGGTATTAATAAAGGGTGTTGACTTGGGTTCCTGCATAAATCTCCTGGCTTCCAGCTGCCACAGAAGAGCAGGGTGTGTAGCAGGCTGCTTGCTGCTGCTGGAACTTCATTACAAGGCAATTGTCAAAAAAGGAGGCAGCTGGGCCTCCATGTGCATGGCCAGCTGAGTCAGGAAAACCACCAGGAGGCCACACACATACCTGGCTAGCACTGGGGACTCACGTGAATGACAACGTGGCTGTCCTCAAGGAGTTCCTAGTCTAGTGAGGACATAAAGTAGTAAACAAACAATTACCCATCTTCACTCTTGGCTAGACTGATACAACTTCCATTTTCCTTTAAAAGTCCTTCTGGGAAGTGAGAAAAGCAATAAAGTGGACAATAAGGCAGGAGAACGACACCACTGATTAAAATCTATATTGCTATGGCAGGCCCTCAGAGACAGGCTCAGCTCCTGGGTTTGCACCAGCTGGGCTTGTGAAGCTTGTAAATAATTAAAAGGTAATTGGAAGGGGAGCCCAAAGTATTAAGTGGATTTCTCTCTCTCAGGGCAACCAGGGAGTTTCATCGCTGCCAGTCACATTATCTTTCAGGATTATATTCTTGTTTTTGCACTGACACGTGCAGCTCCAGATAACAGTTGGAGGAGTAAACTAATTAGGGCCTGCTTAAACTGCTTTGATAGGCTTGGAGATTGGGAGAAATGAGACACAAAACTTTCCACTGCTTTTTAAAGCAAATCAGGAGCTATAGGCATGCCACGGAGATGGCAATGAGGCTTTGGAAGCTATAAGGATGGAGGCAGGCTGCCGTTATGCTCAGCCTAGGGTAAAGAGAAGGATGCGTTCCTAGGTCCCAACGAAGGACTGAGGAACCAAGGGATGTGTGTGATCGGATATAAGCAGGAGTTTGCTGAAAAGCACGGTGGGAGCAGCTCTGTGGCTTTGCTCTAAGGGGATGAAGGTGCGCATCTGCACAGAAAGTCTGGGGTTCTGGCTGCACTTGCTGAGGGCTGACCTGACTGGTGAGCCCATTGCTATGACAGATGATAATAAAGCCAGGAAGTTGATTCTCTGGGCTCACGGTTGATTCGTGTCATAGTCCAGAGTAGAGATGGATATGGCAGGGAGAGGGCAGACCCTCTACAGACCCCTGTTGTTGTGATGGTGAATTTTTGTCAAGCTGATTCTGACTCAGGCCAACCCCATGTGTGCAGAGCAGAATGGCTCCATAGGGCTTGTGGAGGCCTGTCTTCCAAGGTGCTTCTGGGTGGGTTTGAACCGTCAACATCTCAACTAAAAGTGGAGAGCTTAACCATCCATTCACACCATCTGTCTCTTTTCTCTCATTGACCTTGCTCGGTCTCAACAGGGCAAAATGCAGCTACAGGCCTCTACATGCTAGTTTACGGGAAACCCAGGGAAGCTGGCAGGCTATGGCCCCTGAGACCAGTTAACTGGAAGAAAAGAACCAAAAACAAGGCACGGCCAAATGTGGAAGATCATTCCATTCATTTTGTGCCAAGACCCTCCCCTTTCCTCTTCAATTTTCTTGTCAAGTCTTTGGCTAAATACAGGACCAATCAGCAGCAAATGACTCTCACCCTCCTGAGTTGCTGACACTCTCAGGGAAGGAAGGCTGGCTAACAGGGACGGTACACAGTAGGCATTCAATCAATGTGTACAGAATCAAATGCAAAGTAGACTGCATACTCACCCCTCTTCTGCATAAAGATGAAGAGATCATCTAGGAACTCTTTCCTTTCAGGATCATCATCCAGTTCATACAGCTGCAATACCCATTTCCCAAGAGAAAAACACAGTGAGCAACACCATCTTGCTTCAGGAAATCTTTTACCCCATACACGGCAATCATCCAAATGACTAGAAATAAAATTCACAGGCCACTCCTGTTCTTATTCCTTGGGGATCAGATACAACTCATAAAACGGCTTCTCTCTTTAACACAAAGGAAACAATTACAGACCTTGGCAAAATCTCGAGAGATCTCTCTTCCTCGACCTCCATCTGCATCGTCACTCCAGGTCAAACCGCCATTCTAAAAGTGAATAAGACACGAAGTTCAGAGGGAAATAGGGAGAGGAAGAGTGGAAAGCAAGACAGGAACTTAAGGGGAAGACAGGGACCCTTAGTAATGATGCAATCCTGGCTCACATTAAGAAAGACTACTCAGATAACCACCTCTACCACCCTTACAGGAACCTGTTTCGTTTTCAATTATAGTTCCCAAATAAGGAAAAGTTGGTGGAGGAATTCGTTCCCTCTGTTGGATGAGGGTGGGTGTTACTTGCACTCGATTTCCTTGAAGAGGGTGCCTGAGGGCCCAGTTTTCTAAGAACTTGCTTATCCCTAGCTGATCTCCCAGAAGTCATCATTCTGAGATGTACCACTTTTCTGCAGGTTGTGAAAATACCTACCCACACAACGCTCCAAGTGAGGGATAACAGGCCAAAGGAAGGAGGAGAGAGATCCTGAAGTTATGTGTTCTCTCAGTCAGGAGAAGCCCTAGGCCTGGAGCTCAGAACTCCCTAGTGATGATGGGAGGGTCCCATGACCTGGGACTGTTCCCAAGGTGGAGACTCGACAGCCTTAGAGTGAGTTCATTATTAAAAAAATAATGAAAACCTAATTTAATTGACTAGGCTAAACCAACACCACTCAAATGAATAGGAGGAAACAGCAAAAGGGCCGTTGTTCATGTTCTTGAAACATGCTTCCTATCTTTCTGCAACTGTGTAACATCCCTTAAGACTCAAATCAGGTATCTTTTACTTACAGCAAGCCTTCCCTTCATCCACAGCTGGATCAAGTCCTCCAGAAGTAATCGCTATACAGTTCTAGCTTACATTATTTTGAAATGACTTGTCATCCCTCTCATACTGTGAGATCGCTATAGAAGAGGGATGCCGGATTCATCCCTGTACTCCCAGCCAGCATCTAGCACACTATACCTGGCATAAAATCTGTTGTTAAGTGCTGTCGAGTCGATTCTGACTCACAGTGACCTGTATACAGTTTCTGAGGCCGTATCTCTGTGGGAACAGAAAATCTTCATCTCTCTTTCTTGGAGCAGCTTGAATAGCAGACCTTGTGGTTTGCAATCCAGAACTTATCTTTCAGAGTCACCATACTGCCTGGGACAAAATGTTGTTGTTGTTGTTGTCAGGTGCCATCGAGTCGGAACTGACTCATAGCGACCCCATGCACAGCAGAATGAAACAATGTCTGATCCTAGGGCCAACCTTACTACCGCTGCCACACTTGACGCCATCAATGATGCCACCTGGCTGATCCATCTCATTGGGGGGTCTTCCTCTTTTTCTCTGACCCTCCACCTTACCCAGCATGACATCCTTCTCCAGCGACTGTTCCCTCCGGACAATATGTGCAAAGTAGGAGAGACGAAGCTTAGCCATCCTGGCCTCTAAGGAGCACTCTGGCTGCACTTCTTCCAAAACAGATCTATTGGTTCTTTTGGCAGTCCATGGCACTTTCAGTATTCTCCTCCAACACCACAACTCAAAGGCATCAATTCTTCTACGATCTTCCTTATTCACTGTCCAAAATAGGCCTCAATAAATGGCTGATGAACTGTAATTATTGTTGATGGCATTAATTGGTTATTTAAAACCATTTGCCCCAAATATGGAAACATACATATCAGAAAATCAGATAGCTTCCTGCTAGTGTCACACTATAACTCTACTGCTTACACGGTGGGGGTGGGAGGAGGGGAGGATGAGAATGAACACAGGCCACCACACAGGACCATAGGCACATGTGTGAGCAGGGGTGCCAGCATGCTCAATCTCAGGCCACCCGGCAGTCTGGTGTGTGTAAATGGCAGGGAAAGGGCAAACTGGGGGTGTAGATAGAAGAGTTTCTCGGGAGGACGATCTTTGGACAACATGGGGATCTCATTCTAAAACCATGTCACTACAATGAAAGCCTGGTCTCATTTCATTCTCTGCCACCTCTAAACTCATCTGCGAGCAAGGGGTTGTGTTCAGTTGTATTTTAGGGCCATGCCTTACACTTCCCCAGCTCATTCAGGGGTCTCTGAGATGGAGAGCCACTTGCTAATAGCAAGCAGTTTGATACACAATGAGGTAAGTGTAAATTTAAATAACCAAGAAGTGGCACTGTCTGTTGAGATGAAACTAGCTACACCAAATTATTCCCCTGCTTATCTATAAAAGCCGTGTGCAAAGAGTATTCAGTAAAAGCTATCTGGCTGATCACTCTTCGTCCATCGAGGCAGATAGTGTTCTGAAAAAGAAACCCATAGCACTTTTGAGTTCTGCGAAGCCAGTATCCAAGCAGGTGGAACACTGTCAAAAGCAAAATGAAAACTCACCCCTCATTGTAATCATAGTCACTGGTGTCATCTGGTGGCAACTAACACAAAGAATAATCAGGATGAATTATGCTTGTCAGGTCAGCAAAACCTCCAAGAGGAACATTCTCCCTTTCAAAAGGATGCAGTAGGTTGCCCTAATGCCCAGTGATTTCGTTTGAGCCAGTAATTCCTGCTGGAAAGTCAATTACCCCGGGAGGCCCATGGGCTGAAAGACATTTAATGGGGGAATCATTGCGGTTTCTGTTATGTCAGCTGTTTACTGGGGCGGCTCAATTCCCAACTCTCTCGTCAGAGATCTGAAGGCTGATTTTGTTCACAGGAGGATTCTTTCTGTATCGGTCACCCAGAGAGATGAAAACACAGATTTTTGCTAATTGCAGGGACTTCCAGGCACTCAGAATGCTAACTCAGAAACTATTTACCACTCAGCTGGGTGGAGAGAACAGAATCCACAAGCCAGGACCTCAGACAGGGCTTTCCACAGCAGGAGCGGAGTATAACAACAAGCTGGCAGTGTGACTCCGTGTGAAAACAAGCACCCCAGGGTGAGTGCTCTGCTCAGGGAGCAAGGACAGGAAGGTCCTGGTGTAGGAGTTGGAGACCTGTCTGGTTTCTTTTTGGCTTTCTCCAAATCTGTCCAAATGATCACAGGATGGCTGGACCCTGGACTAGTTCTACCCTACTGTGAGCCACCTACAGAGCTCTGAATTCTGCTTAGTGATGAGATGTCAGCCTAGAATGCCTCTAGCTCAGCAACCACACAGGACATGGAGACCTGCTAGAGCAGGGCAGAAAAGAGCAAGGGAGCTGAGCCAGCTGCCCCACTGTTTGGCCCTTCCACCGTGAGCAACTATCAGTTACTACTTAGAGAAAGCACAGGGAAAAGAGGTGCCCAGGATTGAGGGTGTTTTCATTGGTCCAATTCCAAAGGAATTAATTTTAAATCTTCCCTTGGGACTGACAGAAAAACGTCCCCTGTGCATGACTTCCTTTGTCTTAGGGCAGTTGGACTTTGATCCTGCCTCACAGGTTTGCTGGCTAAGGGGACAGTTATTCCTGTACTTGCTTGCCCTTCACGGTCCTGCTGGAATGCCATTTCTTTCCTGAAGCCCCTCTTGTTTCTGCCCACTGGGCAAAATCAATGCCTTTCTCCTCTGGTTACCTGTGCCCTGTCTATGTCCTCCATCTGCAGGCATTCTGTTGGGGTACCCCCAGCCCCAGCTCACAGAAAGCACTAAGACATCTGCAGAAAGGCAGGGATGAGTTCCCCAAGGATACCCCTTACCCCCAGACTCCTCTGGTCTCCCCCTCCCTCTTTCATCAGGAGGATTACAGGCTTAAGCAGTTATTTTCCTAGTTCTTAACTCTGAGCATCTGCTGTAAAACATGGCTCACGTAGGCAATTCCAGTATGCGTTAGGGAGGTTCCTTGGCCTATCAATGGGTGCAGGTATGATTTCTGGAAAGTTCCCAGCTCCAAAGAACTGTTTCTTGGATGCTGAGCCTGGCTGCCTGTGACTGGTGGAAGGTGGCAGGGAGCAGGAGGAAGGGGAGTGGGTCTGCAGAGGAAACATCCAAGAAGACGCAGCTCCACATTTGAGAAAAGCATTTCCACAGAAGGGCCATTGCCTGTGAGTCCACTGTGGCCGGATACAGGCTTTGTTACCCAGCCAGCAGCAGTTTGATAGCCCATGTGTGCCAGGGGCCAACAGGAGCCCCAGTGGTCACCGATTGTCATTTACGACCTTCTCAGCCTCTGACTGGACAACTCCCTTTTAACATCTTTGATCTCACCAGGAGCTCACAGGAAACTGACAGTTTGTTCCCAAATACCCACCCAAAACTAGCTTCGGTTACTATATCCACATTCATCTAATTTTCCCTAGGGAAGCCACAGTGTTTGCCTTTAAATCCCTTAAAAGTGGTAGTGGAAGGAGGCTTGGAAGGTGAAGTGGGTAGGAAGCTGGTGTTTGCGTACTTTCTGTGCATTCTAGACTTGGCCAGGAGCTTTGCACATTTTCTCACTCGACTGTGAGAAATGTGGAGGTGGTTCCTTTAGAGCTGGGGGAAAGATGGCTAAAGGGCTCAAGCAATTTGCCCAGGGGCTCAACTCAGCCCAAAGTCCAGGCAATGGTACACCACTTGTCTCATGGATCAGAGGATGAATGAACAGTAGACAGTGTTCAAGGTGGGAAAGAGGGAGTAAGAGAACAGAAAATGAAATCCTCTGTCCACAGAAAGTCTAGAATGCCCATGTCACTGCCCTTGGTGGCGCCTATCAGCGGGCAACGCTTTGACTTACCTCATGTTCATCTGGGTGGTTCTGTAAAACAGAAAACAGTCCTCATGTTACTGTGGCCCAGGAGAACTGTCTGGGGGTACTGAACTAAGAAATGTTTTACCATTGCCTCCGGAGCCCCCATTCTCCCCTAGGGGTTTGAGAGAGACAGAGAGAGAGAGAGAGAGAGAGAGACAGAAGGAGGAGGAGGAGGAGAGAGAATAGTAGTTTCACCATGGGGGATCAGAGACTATGGGGCTGTATAACATGCACAAAGAAGGCCTTCAAAAGATAATAATGAATCAAAGTCTAACCTGGCTGCTAAACAAAATTAAAATAGTACTTCCCTAACACCTCAAGCCTGGAAGAGGGGAAATGATCCCTTATCTTTGAAAATCTAA